AGTATCTTTTCTGGACTGTTACAAGCAGACGCACACATATGCATGTCAGTTCTTTAATGATCTTGAACATGACTTGAAACCCATTTCTCATCACCTATAACTTACAGTCACACTGTTATTCAGGTGAACTGCAGCTTCTTTGCTCTATACACAAGAAGAGCCTTGACATGAGGTATTGCTAATTCTGAACAACAGTGTAACATGTACATATTACCCTGCCTACTGCCAGGCATTAGGGGGACAACAAACTGGTTGGCAGATTATCACATATTGGTCAAAACTAGATCAAAGAAAATTAAAATAATACACTAACGATTAAGGACACGAGATGAAAAAATGGTAAGTGATCGCTAGCAACGGAAGTTTGGTCACCATACTAGGGACCGTAGGGACTTACAATACTTCTGCTTCCTGCACGTTCCCTAGCTGGATTTATACCATCCCTCCAGCTGCTAGCGACTGTAAGTACTCTTAGCCATTTATCTAAAACCTACAAATATTCCACGATTAAAAAAGTTGGAAGATATGAATATTCTGTGATAGAAGTGGGCCTACATTTAACAAACGCCCTTGACAGTTAAGATGTTCTCGTGTCTTGACATAATGATAGCTAATATAGACAATGTTTTTATTATTAAATAATAATTTATGAAATTCAAAATTCTCAATGGCAGAACAATTATAATGCATGATGCCAAATTAGAAAACGATTGTATTTGTGTGTGTTTAGTAAAGTGACCAAACAGCGTCACGAAAAGTCTTCTGCCAGACCCTTTTTTCTGTATACATGTAGCCTATATCAACTGTTCCTGATGTACATGTGTAGATGGTGCAGTCAACACGTACTCAATATGGACATACCACTTGACAAGGCAATAAGGTGAAGGTCTTCTCTGCAACATTAACAAACGCTGACTAAGGTGGACACGAGCAGTTTGTTCTGGGAAAACAAAATGGCGACCAGTTTCACGTACGGTACAATGCGAGACAGTTTATCTCTAATACTGCCTTGAGACCCTCGCAAGAAACGTGAATTGACGTTCAAACTGACTAGCCTACATCATTCCTAAACCAACACCCTCTATACCTGTATCTTGTGTTGGCTGACAGTCTACTCGGAACCAGGGAGACTATATAAGGTTGTAGAGTATCCCTGTCGGAACTCACTAACAGACTGTATTGGGCTGCCGAGTTTGCTGGGATCCTGCACGAGAAGACGACCAGGACCTCCTGTTCCAGGTCGATCGTGTTACGTTTGCGGACATCTGTTCCAAATCAGTATACTCTTGACTCAACATCTCAAGGATATTGACCGCACATGTACGATACGTCTTCTCCATTACAGGCACACATACAAGCCTCCAGCCGTCATACACACACCATCATTTGGAATGTCGTCAGAGTGCGTTACTGGAACAGTAACCTCCATGTACATGTTAGAATTGGTCTTCAGCAACCCATGCATGTTGTAAAAAGAGACTCATGTTATCAGGTAAAACCTAAAGCTAACCAGCTTCAGTGGCAGAGAGATTAGTGATGTCCATGATTAGGTCATGTTAAAGGTATTCATGATGGTCTGTTTCATTAACGCACCATGGTGTCATCAAATGTACTGACTGAGTTTCGTTTTACATCGCTTTCAGCAATATTCCAGCGGAGGACACCAGAAATGGGCTTCACACATTGTACCCCATGTGGGCAATCGAACGGGGGCCTTTGGCTTGACAAGCAAATGCTTTAATCACAAGGCTACCCGCTGCTCCCGCCAAATGGAGGATAAATATGGTGGTGGTGGAATTGGGTTTAACGTTGTGCTTGAGAATATTTCGCTCATATGACGACGTGCATGCGTGTGTATGTGTATGTGCGGCTGCTTGTACTAGCTCTGACTTAAGCTGGTTTTATAGTGCTAGCTCACTGAGATACCATGTCGCAGTGAAGCATGAATACCCCACTCAGACACATTATACTGACTCCGAGCCGACCAGACCAGTCCTTGTTGTACCCATTAATGCCGAGCGCCAGGCAGGGACCAACAAGTACCAAATTTTAGCGTCTTTTGGTATGACACGGTCGGGGATCGAACCCGCGACCTTCCGCACTCCGGGCGGACGGTCTAACCAATAATATAAAATATAATAAACTGGATTTAGTATAATGACCACAGAGTTATGAATGGGTTAAATGTGTTCCATTTACCCTCCACTTTCCACCATCTCTTGACTACAGATAATAAGTGAGATAGTATCTTTTCTGGACTGTTACAAGCAGACGCACACATATGCATGTCAGTTCTTTAATGATCTTGAACATGACTTGAAACCCATTTCTCATCACCTATAACTTACAGTCACACTGTTATTCAGGTGAACTGCAGCTTCTTTGCTCTATACACAAGAAGAGCCTTGACATGAGGTATTGCTAATTCTGAACAACAGTGTAACATATACATATTACCCTGCCTACTGCCAGGCATTAGGGGGACAACAAACTGGTTGGCTCAGGGTCAGTATTCTGTCTTGTGAATAGATTATCCAGTAAACCACTGCGTCTTCACTCCATTCACTCAGGTGCTTCTTGACTCCAGGTAATGTTAATTCCGAACAGCAGTGTGACCAGTAGTAGTTGTTACCTTGCCTACTGGGAGGCATCAAGGGAAAAAACACCTGTGAAGATCTGGGTAAGAATTGATCTTCAGTAACCCATGCTTGTCGCACTATCGGGTGGTCAGGCTTGCGGGCTTGGTTGACATGTCATCGGTTCCCTATTGAGTAGATCAATGCTCATGTTGTTGATCACTGAATTGTCTGGTCCAGAATTGATTATCTACAGCCTGCCACCATATACCTGGAATATTGCTGAGTGTGGCATTAAATAAACTCACTCACTAATTCAAGGGAATAAAACAAGAACTGGTCGGCTCAGAGTTAGCATACTTTTTCTGAGTGGAATAGTCTTCACTCCATTCATTCAGGAGCTTCTTCACATCAGGTAATATTAATTCGGAACAGCAGTGTGACCTGTACTTTGTCTCATGACCTGGATGAAAAAAAACATCTCAATAACAAATAAACAAACACAGAGTAATATTTAGATGTCTTTATGACAGAAATTGTGTTTAAAGTGTACAGAAATTATGTAAACTGTTGCATCTGTCCCATCTCTAGTAAAACATACCCAGTTTCACACCAAGAACAAAACACAATCAGGTGGAGAGCTTCAATTCAACCAGTATTGACTCTCCTCTGGAATAATGCCCTATGATAGTATCAATATCAAGCTTACTCAAAAAACACAGTATTCGATTCATGGTTTACAGATAAAATATCTTATAAAAGCAACGTGACACATTAAAACCATTACAATTTTTAATCTGTCAAATGACACAAAATCAGTTGCAATATATGTAATGTGAATCCCTTTTAAATTCAGAAAGTACAAAAGACCGAAATAGTCTGTGGCCATAGATGGAATAATTCTAAGATCTTAAGTACAAGATGAGTATCAACACACAGTGAACCCATTCCCTCAACACTGAAGCAATAACTTCAATCTAAAACATTGATTCAGCAGTGCTAAAACAATCACTGTAATATTGCCACAGCTGATGATCTACCATTGATTCTGGAACCACAATATCTGCCAAAATTCAAACACTAAAACAATCATGTCAGGTACACACATACAAATTAGATAATCTAAAATAATATTGTCAACCATAAAGTTTATTTTTATATTTGCACATATTTGAAGTGGATGTAAATTCATCATCATTCACTACACTGGCAGTGGTGCAGAACCTATGAAGTATATAAAGCTCCAGACAACAGTATATTCTGAGGCAGATTCCTCCAATGTTAAAACTGATAGTGACCAAAGGGATTTAATATCCATGAATATGAACCTAGATGTATTTGCTTGTGTATAGTATACATCTGTAATGGAGACAGCAGCATAGAAGGACGTAACTGCCTAATAACTATCATTGGAATATTTTCTAGTGCCATCCATTTGAACTGTTAGGTCACTACCTCATTTACTACCAAGAATTCAACTCCCTTATGGCTTTAATATGTCCCCTTTAACTATTTGCCCATTGTGCTATTGGTGAATAAAGAAAGTCTTTCAACAATGTGGCAGTTCAGCAGAGAAACTCACCCGAGTGCCGTCACTACACATGCTCATGTCTCCCTCGTTCTTTAATGCGATCCACATTATCCTTACAGTGTTCCCTACATCACTTTTCTGTCACAAAATCACCGATTTATATAAAAGCGTCATTCATGCATGCACCGTGAAATCTACGTCTGACGCCTGACGTCAACAACCCTTTTCAGTTTGAGGCATATCGGCTCATTCCACACCACACGTTATTTTGTAGATTACGGAGCGGGACGAGTGTGCCAAATGGCATCGGATCCATTCGGCAATTGTCCGGAGAATAAAATCACGAGACACCAAGTCTACCCGTAGCATTCGTAATTGTCCGTGACCTATTCGGCTCTTTCCGTTCATTTCCGTGACGTCACAGGAATGACTCCATATATTTGCACATTGCGCAACAGTGTGGACGTAGCTCAGTCGGTTAGCTGTCGAGCTAACAATCCGAAGGTCGCGGGTTCGCACAAACTGGTTGCTTGTCTTAATGACACGTGACCTACGGCAGAGATCGTCCTCACGAGAAGTTGTGGTGCTGTATTCTAAAGGTGCTCCGCTTTTGATAATATGCACATTTCCTGTTTAAGTGAGTGAGTGAGTGAGTTTAGGTTTACGCCGCACTCAGCAATATTCCAGCTACATGGCCGCGGTCTGTAAATAATCAAATCTGGACCAGACAATCCAGTGATCAACAGCATGAGCATCGGTCTGCGCAGTTGGGAACCCGATGACATCTGTCAACCAAGCCAGCGGCCCTGACCACCCGATCCTGTTAGTCGCCTCTTACGACAAGCATGGGTTGCTGAAGGTACATTCTCACCCGGACCTTCACGGGTTCCTGTTTAAGAATAGCATTACTAAAATGATACAAAAATACAAACCTGGCAAGACCGTTTATGTCCATAGCTGTGAAATATGGGCACAGATAGCTTAATTTTGTTAACTAAGTAACTGTGATGTTGGCTTTTCTGAAAAAGAGAACATAATAATTCACACAGACTGATAATAAGAAAAGACTGTTTCAACGTTTGGCTGGATATTCCCTACCTGCATTTTCTTAAGTTGGCTAACAGAGAGGTATATATAAGTCAAGTTATGTATTCAAAACTTAGCAGTATTTTGACTGTAGGGGGGATGATGATGATTTTGATGGAGAGGCATATACAATGTGAATGACCCCACCACCACCCCCACCCTGCCCCTAAAATGTATGTACAAAGTAAGTGACCTCCCTCCACCTTCCTATAATTTTTAAGCATACTTTTTTAATATTATGATGTACAAAATTGCTGACCCCCTAACCTAGTACATGTGTACAAAATTGCTTCCTCCCCCCACCTCCCTAGAACAAAATGGATGAACCACCAACCAAACACCCCCAGCCCTTGAGCGGTGCCTAAGCTGTAATGATTTGCAAATAAATTTCTTCTTCTCACTGTGGCTATGTTAAATAAAAAAGTTGACACAAGTTATTTATGATTTATAATACCTATAGGTGTCTGTGCAGAACACATGCAATGTCATACATGATATGCAAGTTTGTGTCTGTTTGAGTCTTCTCCAAAAGTTTTTCAATACGAAAAACTGAGTATCCTAACCTATAAGAATAATGAAATATTTTGTATTAGGCAAGTTAAAGGCACTATATGCCCTAATATATACAATGTAGGCTGAAATAAAATAAAAAGCGTTACAATGCGCCTTTAAGTATTAATTGACATTAATCATACGTGATTTTTAATATTTCCCTCATAAATAATGATTTTGATAAATTTTCATTACTGGTGTGAATAATTATATCTCTCTCAATAAGAAGTAAATCTGTACCTTTCATATTTACCATCATGAAAAATGTTTTTACTCAAAGTAAATCTGAACTTACATTATGTTTAAATTTCTTCATGAATGAGATTAATGTAGTTGAGATTTAGGTTATCTGGCTAAAAATGTGACAATACCACCATGCTATTGACCAATATGAAAATAGGCAAACACATAATTGCTTACCTTTCCCCATGTTTGAGGCTGAAGAAAAGCTGGGGAAGTCATGCCTAGAGGCTGATCCAAATACAGCGGTTTCGGAAAGCTTTGCTGTCTTATTTTTTGCTCTTAAACTATTCCCTGCCTGGAATTCACTGCAATCCTGCCAGACATAAAAGTTAATAAAATTAAAATAATGATTAAATGTTCTTCTCTAACTCAGCCTAATATCTCAAGGTGTCAATACCTACCCCTCCATCCCTTCACCACCTCGCTGGTCACCCTTCTACCTCTCAGCCCTAGTATTCTTCACATTACAACACCTACTTCTAACACACTATCACCATTCATATTCTAGTGTTCACTAGTTCACCAGAGGATATCTATGTTTCACTTACCACATTAGTTTTTTTTTGAATCACCACTGTATGATTTCATGTATTCATCAACTTCTTCTTGTTCAAGGAAGAAGGTGGTATGTTTTGATTTTCCCCATGAATAGCCTGAGGAAACCTTACGGACGAGCTGGAAATCAGCATCAAGGCTGATTATTTTTGTTGGCGACTGAAATTACAATAATAAAGATAAATGGTGAATGTTAAAGTAGATAATTCTTATTTTACTCAAAATCTAACCAAACCTTTTTAAAAATTAATTTGTAGCTAACGTGTTTCCACATACTACAGAGTACATGCTTTTTGAAGCAACTATAGATATTTTTGTTTACTAAAAGTGTGTAGCTGACACTTGTGCAGTTCAACCCACCTGTCATTCTGTCAACCAACTTCACATGAATAATTTGGAAACCTCACTCCCCTATATACTGACAGCTAATAACCTGCACATTTAAAAACAGCTCCCACATACTAAACCTATGCCTTTAACAGTTTGTTAAATTTGAAAAGTATAAACTGGCTATTTTTTAATATTCCACTGTGATTAATCTTAATGTTAATTAAATATGTGACTTTTGTTACATTTTTAGTTTTCATCAACTGACAAAGAAACTGTTTGTTTGAGAATTATGAGTAGTAGGGGGAATGGGGGTACGAAATCACTTTCAACAAAAGCCTCTGCAAAGCCTTATTTCACAAATAAGGCTTTGGTCGGACCCTTGATCCAGCTACCATTACCCCTACTGCTTTCCCGATCTTATAAAAAGTTCAGACACCAGCGGGATACGAACCCCGAATGCATACCTCACAGCCGCACTACTCAACCGACTGAGCTACCGGGGACTTAGCTGAAGTATGTCTGTTTAACGGGTCTATCCTGGGATTGCATCATCTATCCTGAAATTGTATCATTGCTCCATGTGCCGCTATGTCACGTTGACCTCGATGAAACAGTTTAATGTGAATCGCCTATGATCTCTTTGGTGTTCTTAATAAAGGCTTGCCGGGCTTTTTGTACCCCCTGTTCTATGTACTTTTTTTTCTCGTCCTCGCTGATAGCAGACTTACGAGACTTGGATCGAATCTCTTGTTTCATTTTGTTATATTTTGTGAGTTCAGAGAGGATTGAACGAAACTCCTCCTCTGAGATCTTACTGTCAGTGAGTGCCCTGGAAATACGCTCACTTACTGTGTTCAGCTTTGCTTCGGCCAGAACCCTGATCTCGTCGTGTTTCAACGCCTTACGATGCAGTCTGCGTGATGCAAACTTAAGCACCAACCCTAACACCCCTGTCACTCCAGCTGTTATTTCAATACCTAGCACTATAGGTGCAGCCACGATGGTAGCTAAGAACCCAACACCTGCCGGCCCTAGTCCCATGCTGGTTGCCATAAGGGCAGTATCAGTCCCGTCCACGGCATTGAAAGCTCTATGGTACTTCTTATATAGTGCTTTCTGAGTGTCGCGGTCTTGTTCTAGATGGCGTTTTACATCACATAACTGTCTCAAGCGGAACCCCGTCTACGGTTTCCAGGGTCTTCGCTACTTCCTCTACGACTGGGTATAGCCCCATCCTGTGTGCCTATAATATATTTGGTGAAATAATTTTTAATTGGGCTTCAGTTAATAGTTGGTCAACGTACCTAAGCTTATAAAACTTAGATTCTCGTATGTGTAGATACGGGAAGGGTCAATAGGTAACTTCTGGTCTATCTCAAAGTCAAAGCAGTTTAATATGGGGGGTAGTAATCCCTGTTGGGGGTCCCCCAATCGTATAACGAAACGGCAAGATACGAAATCTGGTGTGTCGGGGTCAACCCAACGTATTGTCACACCAGGTAAAAGTTGCAAGTTTGGGGGTGGGTCAAAGCCGTCCGAATCATCAAACTTACCCTTGTAAGCGACTTCTACAATGAGTGTGGAGTTTGTGGTCACAGCCCTAACCCATACTATGGTATGATGGTGGGTGGTTATTAACTGGGACTGCCTGGATGAAATTAACAGGGTGTCCCTAGGCCAATATGGGTTAGAAAAGTTAGAGTTAGAAACTATCATCCTTCCAGTTGGAATGAAAGACGTGATCAAGATACCATTGTTCCTAATTTCAGAGACATAGCCATCTTTGTCTAGTGAGATATAAGGTGCGGTGAGGGTCACGTTGATCAACCATTTGGGTTCTTTAAAGTCTGCCAGTGACTCGTATGTACACACCGTTTACACCGTTTCGAATCCCTCTATGCCTCCTAGACCCCCTAGTGTGGGTTTGGGTAGATGATCGGCCATTGCCGCCCGTCTATACACGTTGTCTTTCAAGTGTAGGACGTACAAGGCGTCTTCCTCACCAGGCTGATCGAATCCATCCGTGTCCCCTAGGTCGTTAAGTGTAGTGTTGGGGCGAAGCCAAGACATTGTTATAATACTATTACGATATAATTTCCAACTGGTTTTCTGATAATAGTTCAGGGGTGAACTTCACCCCCATGAAGTGTATGTTGTCGGGTAGGAAGATCTTGGTTAGTGATATCGTGTTTTCCACGATCACGGTGACACCCTGCAGACTGGTTTTGGAGTCGACACCCACCCGCACGTAAACGTTGCAAACGTGATACTGGTGTTGTTTCCCCCACCGGAGTTTGACCCCCTTCACGATCTCAACATCATCCCGCAATGGTTCCCCTAGGTAGACTTCGATGACCAGTGTTGAGTTCGCCGGTAGACTCTCCAGGATGTTGGCCACGCCTTCGAATTCAGACACCAACTGCAATACCACGTTTTGCATGCCCGGTTTACTCGATAGCATATGGGCTGCCATACTAGCGACTGGGCTGATGATTACGCTACGCCTCTGAGCCGGAACGTAAGCCACGAGCAGGGTTCCGTTGTTCACGACTTTGTTGAGGTAGTTGTCTTTGTTATCCGTGAACACGTAAGGGGAGCCGAGCCTGATATTGAGAAACCAGTCGTCTTTATCGGGTAAGAACACCCACTTGTCATCTTCGGTGAAGACAGCGTATATGGCTTGTTTCGGGCGACGGTAGTGCTCTCAACATCGTCTAAGTCGAACAGTTTGCCCCCGAACGATGGGTATATTATCCATTTATCATCCCCGGTGGTGACTAGGGTGTACCGAGTGTTGACTGTCGCTCTTGTGGTATCTACTATATCACTTAGATTGCTAGTACCACCGATGGAGGGGACTTCAACACGTTTGTAAATGTTGTTTTTCAGTTGCAAGGCGTACAATTTACCATCTACTCCGGGGTCGTCGAATCCGCGTGTATCCCCGAGGTCGGAGATCCCCGCATTGATGCATTTTTTCAACTTCATTCCAGGGCCTTGTGCGCTGGTAATGTTATGTGCAGCGTTATGCTGAGGTATCCTATATTCACGGGATTATGATTTATATCTAACACCGATATTATCAGCTCAGGTATGTTGCCCTGAGTCAACCTCTTATACTGCCGCGGTGAAAGCGACTTCGGTTCTGCCGTCGTTGTATTTCTCCGTTTTCACGGTGCACGCTCTCAGTATAGTGGAAGGGTGACCCCTTGAATGTTGTCCGTTGTGCTCACCTGGTTGAGATGAATGCACAGCTCTCGGCACGGTACTAGGTCGGGTAACCGTGCCTGTGGCGGTAGTTGTTGGTTTTATGTCGTCAGGTGACATACCGAGTGTCTCGCCAATGGTCGACCGAGTCTCAAGGAGTTTCTTCCGTTGTTGATTAACACCACTGTGCCGTTTGAGTCGTTCATCTTGAGTTCGGCTCCCAGGGGTTTGAAGACCTTGTCGCTTAGAGAGCACACGCTGTAGTAGCCGTCAGTTATCTGGTTACGGGCGCCACTGGACGAACAGCTTATTGTTGCTGGCGTTGATGTTAGTCCATCGCGGTAGGTAGGTGATATCGCACAGTGCTACTTCGAGTTGACCCGACGTGTTATCGATCGCGTGTGTCAGCTGAACAGCCTCACCACTCGTTATTCCTGGAAGTGTTATGTACATGTTAGAGTATATATGCTCATTATTTAATAGTTTTAAAATGTACTCCCCTGGTGTGTTTTACCCTAAACTGGACATAGATTTCTTACGCATGAAGATCGTGGTCGCTGCTGGGTTGTATTTCGATGCCCAGCTCATAGATGTGTTCGACCAGTATAAGTTTTCGGTGACTAACGCCAAGGTAGTTCATGCTTGGTTCAAAAACCCGATGCAGTTCTGGCAGAATCAACTCAACTTTGTCGTGTGGTGCGCTACAACGGGGTGTGGTGTGACATTGACCGACACTCGCTCCCGGCGTGGACCCGCTGAGTCAGTCTGTGTTCACGTTCCCGGGCGTGTACTACCAGGTCAAGATGAAAGAATGGGGATACGTATCCTCAAAGAGATCAGTGCCCGGCTCCCACAGGAAAAGGCGTTGAACCCAGTAAACAACCAGCGCTCTCCAACATACGATAGACCCTGGTGGTTGGTTGGGGATGTCAAGGTCGCTACCAAAGCGTTTGGGGCTCATTTGGTTAAAAATTCCTTAGCCGCTACATACACCAGCCCCACCACGGCGACGATGGCTGCCCACAGGTTTTGACTGAGCCACGTGGCAGTTTTAGCCAGAGCCCTCAGCAGCCACGAGATGATGCTACCCAGGATGCCGGGTAGGGCTTCGGTGGCCTTACCAGCCAGTTTAGCCAGGGCCTCCCCTAGGGATTTCAGGTGTTTTTTTTAACCCGTCTTTGACACCCCCACCACTTGGTGGTGTTGGACCGCCGGCAGGCGTGGGGGTACCCCCTGTCAATGACACCACCAGGGTTGATATGATGAAGCCCAATGCAGTCAGAATGCTGGCGATGGTGATCCCTTGCTCCCGGAACAGGATCCGAATCCTGTCAGCTAAAGTGGTGTCTTGGTAAAGGACTCGATCAACGGTTTCCCGCGCACGGCTGACCTGGGATCGAAGCTGGTCTCGGAAGGAGGATGCTGTTTCCAGCTGGGTCTTCCTTTCCTCTTCCAAATTACGTATTCGTTCCTCGATGGTGGCTTTCAGAGACTCGTCCTCAGTTTCACCGAGTTTGACCTTTTCATGGGTGATGTGGTCGTCTATCGCGTCCAGTTTGGCCGTGTTGTTCACGAGATGTCCG